GAAAATGTGATAAAAGCTGTATATATTTATGTGTAACTGAATTATCAGTTTCAGTATTTAAGAAAAACTTTCACTCTGTTTTCTCAGTGAGGAGAAACTCCCAACTTTCCATATGTGAAGGAGCCTAAAGTTCCAGTATTGTATCAAAGATGGTATAAACCAGATTTTCCCTCTCTGTTCTGGTATCTATTTGACATTCCTGTAGCTGAGATCATTGTTGTGTTTATGAGGATGGGAAACATTAAGGGAATGTTGGAAAAGTTTGAAGGAAAGTGATAAATGTTCATTAAATAGAAATGCTGTTAATACTCTTAATTTTTCCTGATGGAGCATGTAAAATACATGTAAACTAAAAGCTAATCAACCTAATTGGAATATTAAGTATCTCAAACTTGAACATAACTCTCAGTATGTAAATTAAAAGAGAGTCAAGACTATTTAAACATGCTTACAGAAAAGATTTCTGTAGAAATAAAAGTGAAAAATACTACGTTGTACTTACAAATTGTTGACATGGTTCTACTAAATATATAAAGTCTTACTTAAGCTTAAATTCAGTGTTGATATGCACGTAGCTTCTGTATTAGGTCAGTATGCTTTAGAATGAATGTATGGAAGGTTTTTCTGTACTACAGCACAGTTAAGGGGACTTGTTAGCAAGACTGTTAAAGACAGCTGCTCTTGAAAAAATACTATGTTGTACTTACAAATTGTTGACATGGTTCTACTAAATTTCACATATAAAGTCTTACTTAAGCTTAAATTCAGTGTTGATATGCACGTAGCTTCTGTATTAGGTCAGTATGCTTTAGAATGAATGTATGGAAGGTTTTTCTGTACTACAGCACAGTTAAGGGGACTTGTTAGCAAGACTGTTAAAGACAGCTGCTCTTGAAAATGGGTAGATGCAACATTTTGGTATGGGAAAGTACTAACAAAATATATTTATGTAGTATCTTAGGCCTCTTAATTAACTTGCGGTAGTATAAACATGCTGAAGAAATTAGGCTACGGTATTTAAAAAAAAAGAAAAAAACCACAAAATTACACAGTCCAGAAGGCCTAATTTCTGAGTACATAACATTTACTGAAGTCATTTGTAATTAGTAACATTCTTCACTAAATAGTGTATATAATGAAAAACCTTAGTCAAGCTTCACTTAAAATCCTGTTCTTCACTTGCTTAAATATTTTGGTTTAATACTTTATTATCTAAGTCTTCCAATTCAGTGGCCTGCTTTAATTTAGAACAGGGTACTTTTAGTCAGGTGATAAAGTTGAACCTGAAAATATTTTGTTATGCTCCTTGAAGTTTGATGCTGCAGAGCGTGGTTTTGATTCTGGCAGCTGGACTTTTCCTGCCAACCTCATGCCATCACAAATACTTTCAAACAATATCTGGTTTTATAGTGCAAGCCCTGTCCCTGTCTAAATACAAATTATTAGACTAATAATGACTGAAAGTCATTCCTGAGGATAGAAGCCCTAATGTTGCTAATCAAGAATCTTGTAATAAAAGGTCTCCTATAATAAAAAGTGCAGTACAGAAAGATACACGTGGAATATCATGCCTTTTCTTTTTTTTTTTCAAGCTACCCTGTGAAAAAGATGCTAAGATGGAAAGGCTGACAGAGGGTTGTCAAAGACTCCTGTCCTAAAGCTGTTCTCCATTCTACCACAGATTGAATCTTTCTAGGACACAGTTTAGCAAGAAGCAAAGAGGGAAGGTATTCACATGTGAGGTTTCTTTGCAGAAGTAGTTCTGTGTATTAAAAGGATTGTACTTAGGCCAGGGTGTGAGCGTCTGGCAAGTTGAATATATCCAACTGTACATTCACATCAATGTATTTGTCACATTAATCTTTCAATTTGTTTTTCTGTTTATCTCCCTTACAACCAGTATCAACTTTTGAAATTTAAATAAAATTTAAAAAGAAAAATTTTAAAAAGAAAAAAAGTTCACTGGAATTTAAATGTGTGTTCTTTTACTTCTGAAGTATAAAACATTGAGCAGTAAAAATTTTGTTCTATACTTTCAGTGTTAATACACAAATTAAATTGATGGAAGTAATTCTGTATCCTAATAACTGAGCAGGGTTTATTGTATAATAAACTTGGGTCCACTTACATTTCTTGTACCTTTTTGAATCAATAAAAAGTGTAGAAGCAATGCGGAACATTAAAACAACCTAAAATGCATCATGAATTTTCACCATACCTTACTTGTGAGTTTTTTAAGGCTTGTACGCTCAATACAGTTAATGCATAAAATTGGTCTTTAGAGTGAACAACCCTACATTGTCAAAGGACTGAGTTAGGTTAGCTGCCCTTTTCCAGGTCTGCTTTACATGTCCTTTAAGACAGACAGAATGTGATGCACCACAGTGTCAGCTTAACTCAGAAGGACTCTTTTTGCCAACTATGGGGTTGTCCACACTACGGAATAATACTTGCTTTGGACATCAGGTGTGATACATGTGTGTAGTGACATCTCTGATTATCAGTTCTCCCTCTAGGTCTATGTAAACAATAGTATAAAGTTTAACTAAATAAAAACCTGGCACTATAAAAACATTAAAGCCATCAAACTACTATATGATTTCTTGTAACTGTTACCAATAACACCTAATTAGTTACAAAAAATTGAACTGGTTTATTGAACTACAGCATCTAGTCTTACTTTTCATTCTCACAGTTCCTATGCTGACCAATACGTAACTTTCTCCTTACTTTTAAAATTGATTTGGGGAGTTGTGAAATGAATTTTACAAAAGCAAAATACAGGGAAAATAGTATCTTCCTATGTAAATTAAAGCAGTATAACAAGCAATGTTTACAGTAGATGTTTTTTAGATAGGTATCAATTTGGGTTAAATTTTTTTAAAATTAATTTTCTACCAGTAATTAGTAAACAGTTGGCAATAAAAAGTAGGATTTCAGAACAGTTTCAATAACATCTGTGCTTCCAAAAGACAAATAGTAGTTAGTGTTCTGGGATCCTTCTGTAAGTAACTAAACCAGCATGTTACTCTTACAGATAATTCTGTACTGTGGCATCTGAAGATGCAGTCTCTATCGCTCAATGGTCTGTAACAACAAATGTTCTGAACAGAGATAAAGTTGTTTCTCAGCTAGCCACTTAGAGGCAGTTTTTAAGGAAAAGTGAGCTTTTCATTTAGATGAGAGGGCAGTTTAATAACATCATACAAATGAATCAAAAGGATTTTCTGTAGAACAGTAGCTGGTAAGTCTGCATTGTTACTGGATGAATCCCTTTTAGGCAAACACCTACCTGTTTGTTTCTATGCCACTGTCACAAGAGGTGATAATAACAGAGGTGATAGCAGTACATACAGTGACAAATTATACTACCTAAGAAATACAGAGTAGCTCTGTATTTATAACGCTAAATTTATCCCCCTTCATTTTTTTTAAATTCATCTCTTTAGCATTACATGCTAGGTAGATCTCATTAGCTTGTGAAATTGTTGCAGATGACAAAATAAAGAGCAAAACTACCAATCTGTACATTCAATTGAAAATTAAAGTATATACAATTTGATCACTAAGTTCAGTCATACTAAAAGGCAGGTGTTAGTAACTCTGAGTTAGGGCAGAGGCAATGATCAGATACGACTTTTGATCTTAATCGATCCTGTCCCTATAGTAGGCATTACAGATTCCTTATTTTGGTTGGTTTTGTTTGGTTGGTTTTGGTGGGTTTTTTTTTTCCCCAAAAAATGTGAACTTCTAAGTAACAAGGTTCACAGATTTCTAAACAAGAATTTCAAATGTCTTTAATACATTGGCGGTGAAGTAATAGAACTAGATTTTGTTCTCTTAGGGCTTAACTCAAGGTTCTGTTACCCCTAAGAGATGTTTGCTCCTGAACTGAATAGTTTTCAAGACGCT